TCATAACTCCCCTTGGTGGATTTCACAACACTTTTTTTCTTAGGGCCAAAACAATTTTAGATCTCATTTGGAGAGGCATAACCTTGTGTCTGAAATGGGAAACATTGCAGTACCCTAAACATCTAAGAATTCTGTCTGTTCCCAAGTAGTTCTTGGGTTGGGGAAAGAAGGACAACCACGGTCTGGTGTATCACACTGTAAGACTTTTTGCTTGGGTGGGAAGGGATCCCCTTTCCTTCTCAGAAAACCCCCTGTACATGAAAACCTGCTCTTCCCTACCTACGATCAGAGAGATGGGCAAAATACGGGCATCTATTAAGTGCTTATTGGGCAATTCTGGATTTACCACTTGTACTGCCTTGTGGGATAATCATTTTTCTATATTTCACAAAAGGAGTGATTTCTACTTTTTATAGTTACTTGACATCTAATCTTTTACAGAAATCTCCCTTAAGGTGTAGGAGAGGTTGGAAACTGGACATTGGGCAATTAGATGATTTCATATGGAAAGAGGCCTTGCGGTCAGTTCATTTAGTGTCCCTGTCTCCTTCCTAAAGATGAACTCAATTGTACATTATCCATAGAACTTACCACACTCCAGATTTTCTTTATAGAATTGGCTTTAGGGCTCTCCCAAGGTGCACCAAATGTGGACTTGAACCAGGCTCTTTAATTATTTTTTTGTGGCTTTGTCCAAAATTGGTTCAATAATGGTAAGCAATTATGTCTACCATCAATTCAGTCTTCGCTACTGCAATCCCCAATACTCCACTTGTGTGTATATTAGGTGTTCTAGAGCCCTCTAAGTGGGATTCATCTACCCTGGCCACTGTATCCAGAGCATTATTTGCTGCTCGCCGGGTACGTGTGCTGAAATGGACATCTTCTGCTCCTCCTTCAGAGGAGGTATGGATTATGGCACTCAATTGCTTAACAGCCTTTTCAACATGGGGCACACTGGTTAATTAATTTATGATTCTGGTTAGGTGGCTGGAGTATGGGATATGTCCTTCTTCTGGTCTTCCCTTAATGCTCCCATACACCTTTAATCTAACCTAATTGGTTTTCACATTTTAGTTTGGTTGTACATGCATGCTATTGCTATTTTGTCACCTATGTTTCTGAATGTTCATACCTTTATTATACCTGCTTGATATATGATGAATGTGAGTACTATGTACTATGATTGCACGACAGTAAACTCCTAGTTACCCAGCACCCACAGGTATCGGTAGGTGCTGGATAACTGTAGTTTCTGGTTGCTTGAGAGTTAAACCTAACTCTCAAGCACCCCCCACGCAGTGCATCACCCCCATCTTTTCACCCCCCCAGCCCCAATAACTTGCCGGATAGCTTCCACAGCCAACAGGTTAATCTAAGCAGGCAGGAGCAAAAACCCAGCCCACACATTTCTCTCTCATGTCTGTTCTCCTGCTCAGTGGGCCAGTGCAATGGCCAGCCTGCTATTGGCAATTTCAAATTGCAATAGGCAATAGCAGGCTGGCTACTTGAAACCTGCCCACTGAGCAGAAGAGAGAACCTGAGAGAGAAAGTTGTAAAAATGATGTCTGTGCTGTAAATATCCTGTGCACAGAGCAGAGCTGTAGGAGGGACCCAGCAGGTCTAGCAACTAAAAGCTACCTGCAAAACACTACAGGAGGGGGGCGTGGACAAGATGAGTGTAGAAAGCATTATGTCCTGGATTTGGAGGAAATACACATAAGCCTATCCAGCAATTGCTTATCTCTCATTATGCACATACATATTGTATTGATGAAAACTAGTAGTAGCCTTAGTTCAAACCTTTGGTAACCCAATTTGCAGTTTCTAAACTAGTTACTGTAGTGGCAACCAAGAAAGGAAACAAGGAAAGATTAGATTCAATTATTTTGTGGTTCTTATATGGATTGAAGTTCTTGCTTGTGTATACTGAATAATATTTTAAATATAATTTTTTACCAAAGACTAGGGATGTCCCGATGCCACTTTTTCAGGCCCAAGTACAAGTACAAGTACTTCCCCTTATGTACTTGCCGATACCAATTACCGATACTTTTTCTTAAAGGGATAGTGACTTTAAATGAACCATAGCACAACTACATGTTCTGTACTATGGATCATGATTTAACCTATTCATGTTAGCAGCGGAGAATTCTAACTCTATTGCTGGAGTGTAGTGGAGGTGTGTGCTGTATATATGTACTACATATACATTACACACGTCCAGTACACTGTAGCAATAGATTTACAGCCAGCCCCATCACAGCTTCCCTCACTCACAGTTTCACTCCGATCCCTGTTGCCTCACGCGGTGCCTCTTGTAGTCATCGCTGGGCAGGATTGTTGCATTGCGTCTCGGTGCTCAGCTTGTGGGAGGCGCTCACAATTCTGCCCTGCTAACATGAATGGGTTAAATCATGATCCGCAGTACATATGTCCCGTACACTGCAGTAATAGAATTACAATTCTGCCCTGCTAACATGAATAGGTTAAATCATGATCCATAGTACATAATAGTACATGACATATAGTTGTACTATGGATCATTTAACCCATTCATGCTAGCAGGGGATCATTGTAAATCTAATGTTGCAATGTATGGGGCATTTGTGCTGTATGTGTACAGAGCATATAGATATACAATTCTGCACTGCTAACATGAATGGGTTAAATGATCCATGTGTACTCTATATCTACTCTATATGTAGTACATATAGAGTATATACTGCTCATACAGTGCAGAGAATACATTTACAATTATACTCTGCTAACATGAATGGGTTAAATGATCCATGTGTACTCTATATCTTTAGCTGGCTCAGAGGTGCTGGCCAGCTAAATTAGAATCCCACCTGTAGCTCCTCCCACTGGAACAGCGCTGACTCGCCGCTGCTGGTTTTTTTTTTCTTGCTTACCTCGCTGAACTGCTGCTCCGGTGGGCGGCGCTCCGAGTGGGGTCATCTGGCAGTCTCCGGCCACCTAAATTAGGACCCCACCTGGAGCTCCGCCCACCGGAGCAGCAGTGACGCGACGCTCGGCAAGGTAAGTAAGAAAAAAAACAGAGCTAGCTTCGGCGCTAGGCATCGGGGCATTTTGACAAGTACTTGTCAAAATGCCCTGTATCGGGCCGGATTCCGATGCTAGCATCGGTATCGGGACATCCCTACCAAAGACCTAATTCTGTGAGCTCTGCCCCCATTTTCTGTCAGCTCTGCTCCCGTATGTACACTATCACAGGGAGATATATCTGCACAAAACACGGAGCCAGCACTTAGATAAAAGCCGACTATTCTCCAGCAGGTCTTTCTTAGCAAATACTACAATCGCCACACCAACCTTTTTTTAAACTAGGTCATGCATATATTTTACCTTGTTTGTCATATTTTTTACATTAGCACTGATTTTTTCTTTTCTAAAGATAATTCAACAGCTATTTATTTTGATTCTGAACCGTGAGTCTGCAGGGAGTTTTTAATGAGGGATTTAGCATATTGATTAGTTAACTAGCATGTTAAATGTTGTTTGTGCCCGTTTGTCTAGAAAACATGTTTAAAATGATGGAATTTCATCGCAGTGACTTGTATGTGAAGAATTTGCCTTGTAAATCCAGCATGAAGCGATGGGGGTTTTACAGAATCTTTTTCATCAGTGTAATTGCGGGCGCTGCCTCAAATTCACTAATGGCCAAAGAACAAACACGGCTAAAAGAACAGCTGTAAATCAGTAGGTAAAAGAAAAAATGTGCATAGGTTAAAAAAATAAACCCCATCTCTAATACACGTTTTCCTGTATACTGAGGCTGACTTACTAAAGGAATCTATCACCTTTGCACAATAAATTGTGTGAATATTCACTTCAATTATCCAATCACGTGCAGTTGAGATAAGTACATTTTACATAATTGTATAATTGAAGTGAATCTTTACACAATTTATTACACAACTCCTTTATAAAAAGAAAATAAACTTGCAGTGTAAACCCCTCCTAAATTCCCCCTCAGCACTGCAGGGGTTAAATCCATTTTAAGTCTGTGAATAGAGGAATAACTGTATTACCTACCTTATTTCTCTCCCCTTCAGGATTCTACCACACTATGCGACTGGTCCCCCAAAGCCTCTTCTTTAAAGTGACACTAAACTCAGGAGTTCAATCTTAAAAGTGCATTCAAGTACCTTAACTATTAACAAAAATGTATCTCATTTGTGTATCACTCGGCTGTAGATCCTCAAATCATCTCTGAATTGGTGCTGACACTGTCCTTCCTTCTGGAGGGTGGCTACTTTTGTTCCCCATGATCCCTTCATGTGTTGTAAAGTAGCCACCGCTCCAAGATCACTCCCGTATTGAACTACAATCTCATGTTTAGTTTACTAATTTGTCCATCATGGGAGCAAGCTTGGAGCATGTTGTGACTTCACTTCTAGTTTAATGACCAACAGAGGCTTTGTGATTGGATTTTGGATGGAGTGGGAGAGAACTTGGGTCTTATCTGCACAAATTAGTTCCTACACTATCTAGACTGTGCCCAAAAAAGGGCCCCCATAGAAAATGGTTGAATTATATCAAAAGGTACTGGCCCGCAATACTTTTTCATGTTCTACTGTTCGTACTTTGGTATTAGGCAGGTTCAGTTTAAGGAATACATTTTGATGCTGTTATTTTTTTTAATGTTAATTAATAGTAAGAGGTAACTTTTAAAGAAAAATTACTTATGCATTCCTTAGTATGGTCTAATTTCCCTTAAATACAGGTTAGCGAAGAATTTTTAAATGTTCTGTCACCTTGTGTTATTCTCTGTACTTTAGAGTGAATGCTAATATAAGTCACTCTCATTTATTAGTATGTGAACCGTGCATGAAATGACTCACACGCTGGATGCATTTCAATATTGAAAGAATGGTTAGTAGGGGCTCATTCTATATGGCTCAGAGCTGACTATGCCTAAGTCGTGCATGTCTTTGACCAGACGTTCTTATTTTCCGCTCTCTTGTTCTTTCTAGGTTGATAGAGCTTCTTCCATATGTAAAAATAAACAACTACTGGGGTATGGCAAGCAAGTGCCTTGCATACAGTAAAGCTGCAGCCGATCCTTTTGTTTATTCCCTACTCCGTCAGCAGTACAAGAAGGTCCTGCTCAACATTGTCAACAGGATGTTGAAGAGAGAACTGTATCCTTCATCTGGCTACAACAGCTCTTTGGACACTGAAAATGAATATTGCTTGCACAGAACAAACTAAGAAGATTTCACAAGTTTGACATCTCTTACACAGCTCTTGACAAAGTATCAGCACTTAGGGCATTAAAGTGACTCTTTTGCTAGGATAATGTCAAAATAAGGTCTGCTCGAAAAAGAAGACCTAAAATATCTAAACACAAGAACAAAAAATGTAATATATTGCAGAATACCAGTCCTTTGAAATGGTGGCTGCATTAATTTTTTTTTTCAGGCAACATATGTTTTCTGCAAGTACATAAATAATTTGTTGAGCCTGCCAGAAATCTATTGTCTATGTCACTTCCTAAACTGAAAGCTCAAACAGAATTTTCAGCCTTTGTAGTAATCTATTGTGGCCTATGGAAAACCTTCCCTTTTGTTAAAGAGATGAGAAGTGGGGTACCTGTAGTACAAATCAGGAGACCAGCTTACAGTGATAACGATACTCCTCTATAGATGCAGTACAGTGACTGAGCATTGTCACTCTAGCACATGAAGTGTGCTACTGGCAGGATTACCATGTGAAAGAGAAAAAAGCCTGTATAAAATGCAGCCACCACGTTTTTGTGTTACACACCCCGCGTTAGTTCTTAAATGTGAACAGGGTGATCCTGCCAGTAGCACACTTCCTTTCCTGGGGTGGCAACAGCTTTTTTTCCCCTTTTTTAAAAATGCTTTTAAGTCTAGGAGGTAGAGGAAAAGGCTGTATTTCTTATGTCGCCCATTGCTCTTGATTTGCCACTCTACTTTTCTCCCTGAAGCTGCAATTTGTGGGTGGTCCCTCACTATCCTCATGTCTCATGTACAATGTTGGTGCCCAAAGTTGGGCTTTATGGACTTGTAACCTCCAATATATAATTTTTTTTGTTCTTGAGTTTAGATACAATTTAATACATATGTATCTGTCCTGCTGCTTGTGCCACCAATCTTCGCTCTTTTTAGGAGCTAAAGTGTTCTGAAGAGTCTTCATCCAACAGAAGTGCCCCCCCCCCCTAGGCATTTGTTTTGGCTGCTACATCACTACTGTGACCTGTCGTGACAAAGGAACCCTCGGATCAAACCACAGAGTGCAGAGGGCAACAAAGTATCTGACAATCCTAGAAGTGTTGGATGCTCATACTTTTTTAACTAGCTTTTCAAGAGAGTGAAGATTGGCAGTGGGACAGGTATGTATTAAGTCTTTTCTTTATAAGGGGACCTTATTTTGAAGTTTTTATTCCAGTGACAGAGTCCCTTTAAAGTGCATTTGATGTTCTGTTTTTTTTTAATTAAGAACATATATAGTGTATTTTGAAAAGGTGATATAAAGCTCCACCTCTTTGCCATTGTATTAATCCATGCCATTGCGCTCTGCCCACTTTGTATGTCAGGAGGTTAGGGTGTAGAAGAGGTTAATGTCACAGTGATATTCTGAGGTGGTGAATGACGGTTGAGTAGGTCACAACTAATGCTGGCCACACAAGTTATTATCAATGTTCAGTTCAATAGCAATATTTGATTATCATCTTTGTTTTGCTCTTTGCAATATTCGCATTTGCACATCATTTTTTTTGTCAATCTATTTTTATCTATTAAACTTAAATTAAATATATTTTGAAAGTATGGTGTAAGCACCTGAATTTTTGTCTTGATATTAGCCTCCTGATAGTCCCTGTACAGCAGCACCCTGACTGGGAGAGTGAGAAGCAGCACTAAGAGCCAATCAGATGCCCTACTCACATGTGATGACTTTGAACATGTTCACAGGAGGAGAATAAGTAATGCCTCATTAATGTGTTTTTGATTTTGATCTTTGATGTGTTACCAACAGGCTGGACATGTGTTCTTGACCTGGTTTTGCTAATGCTGCAGTGAGTGAGGGACTGGCTGTGATGTCTGGCAGGGGTGCCCAGATCACGAGACTGGCTGCACAGAATTCTAAGTCATTTAGAAGATAAATGTTTGACTATTTAGCAGCCTGTTTGAAGTTCAGCTTTAATAATTTAATTACCCAATACTGATTGTCCGTATGATCTAATGATTATCCATATGATATAAACTGATCTGTTTGGAAAACCCTAACAATGCAACAACAAAGGAAATAGCAGGAACCTTATGATGGAATACTTTAATTCTGCTGACAATAATAAGACAAGTGAGGCCTTCACTCTTTGTAAACACAACTGGTATGTGCAGCTTTTGTAGGTTGACACCATGCAATTAACACAGTGGTTCTCGTGTCCAAGCTGCAATAATACACTTCACAAGAACCAGTGCTGGAGATAAACTCTGGAAAAAAATCTTTGCTCACTGTTTAAGGTTGTTCTAATAATAAGGCTGCCTGAGATGGTTGCCACAGATGGCATCTCTTTGGGTCACACCTGCCACTCTCTTTGCAGCCAAAGCATCCCAGCTTGCACTCTTAGCAAACTGTGACGCTCTGGCCGGCATCCTGGTTGCTAGGAGCTAAGCGGGACGATCTGGCTGGTGTTTCATCCAGATACTGGTAACTAGTGATGTCAGGAAGCTGGGCGGGATGCCGGACTCTCCCCCTTCCCGTAACGTGCACCACTAGCACAACTCCCTCCTCCTGTAAGGTGCACCGGCAGCACCCCCCATTAGTTTCCCCCGCCTCAGTCTAGAAAATAGTCTACAGACACCCCTGAAAATACCCTTCTGTGTATGAAAATACCCCTCTTTTTACGCCATGGATAGGTCAGAGGCACACAGGGGATTTTATGTTTTCAGCAATCAGGTGAACATTGTGGAGGTGTACAAATGGAGACTCTTTTAAGTGAGAAATACCCTATTAGAGCTGGGTAGTTGAGAGCAAGGTCTATTATGTTATAAGATGAAAATGTTGGTAATATAGAGAAAGTAATTTTGACACATTTGACAATTCAGAGATTTCCTCTCTTCTGCTTTAATATACTGTAGTTTTTATGTGTGTATCTGTTCATTATTTATAATAGTGCAACACATGTACAATGGTCATCTTATTCTGTGGCCAAAACAGTTGTTGCTCTGTCGCCATGCTCCCACTGTCTGAAACCAGTGCATCGAGTTTAACAAGACTAAACCTTTGCAGCCACTCTTTTGGGAAGGGTTTTCCCACAAGATTTTGGAGTGCGTATGTGGGAATGTGTGGCCATTTAGGCAAAAGAGCATTTGTGAGGTCAGGTACTGATGTTGGATAAAAATATCTGGCTTCCAATTAGCATTCCAAATCTTTCCAAAGATGTTCAGTGGGGTTGAGGTCAGGACTTTGTGCAGGTCACTTGAGTTCCTCCAAACCAAGTTTATCAAACCATGCCTTTATGGTGTTGGTTTTGTGCACAGGGGCACAGTCATGCAGGTACAGAAAAGAGCCTTATAATGTTGCCCAAAGGTTGGAAGTGCCCAATTGTCTAAAATGTTTTGTATACTGTAGTATCAACATTACCCTTCATTGGAAAAACCTAAATCCAAAAATGTGGAGGGTTGTTCACAGTCATTCGGCAATATAATATAGGTGTGATGATCAGGTGATATAATGTATAACAAAAAACAGTCACAGACAGAACCATAAGGCAAGGTGAGATTCTCATTTCAGATGATAACGTCTAATGGTGACATTAGATGGAGTTCTCTTCACTTCAGTCCTCTCCAATACATCTAAAAAACAGTCTTGTCATGCAGGGGTGCTGCTTAGTGCAGGGGGCAAGGCCTATCATGGACTTAAACATACTGGACTTTTACATGTTGTAACTATGTAACATACAGTGAAAAAAACCTAACCTGTGGATAAGACCTCCTGTCAGTGTAAAGAACAGTAAAAAAAGCTTTTGAATTGCTAGTGCTTTATTTAAAACAGAAGAGGGTTCTATGAACACCAGTGTCTCCCTATGTACTGTATATTATTAATATAGATTGATAGATACATGTTTCTTAGAAAAGAGTATATTATTTTTGCTAAGCATAGTAGTTCATAGGCTGCAGAATACTACGGTGTCCTTGGATTTCTTTGTGCAGCTTATTTTTAATGAGTAGATCTAAGATGGATATCTCAGGCTTTCACACTATTCCTACATTCTGGCTTTCTGTATTTGTACAAATAGACTCCAAAGAAATGTTCATTCCTCACAAGAATCCAGTTCAACTGAATGTACTGTCATTTTTATTTTGTTGTATTTAGTATTATATTTGTACTTTTTTGGATTTTGTGTATACTATTCATTATAGAAATTTTGTATTGTATAGCAAAATTAGGATTTGTTATATAGATCTTATTTTGCACTAACCTATTATATTAACCCGGCTACTCTCAATTTCTTAACCTAAGGTGGGACAGATAAACAATCAGCTTTGCAAATGGTATTATTGATAATACCTTTCACTTATACAAGCTCTTGAAGAAATAATTTCACACATAAAGAAAGTAAAACATTCATGCTGCAGAAATGGATTTCTAAAGACTCTAATTTTAAGTGTTACTGAAAAATGGCCTGGATGGGAAGGGGGTTTAACACCGCGGATGTCAACTGGTTAAGATCCAACATAGTCTAAAAACTAAAAATATTGGTGAAATGCAGGCACTGAGTGCCTGTGTTAATTCTTGTGCACCTTGAAAGACTACATGTGGGGCCTTGACTTTTGTCCAAATTGACACTCATCCCTCACTGCTGCTAAATCCTACATTAACCATTAAACAGTCCAGTGCAAGATCCTCTGTTGACCTCTAATGACTGGTGTTGGATTCTTAAATGGGGGCATTGCTTAGCTTCAGCAAGAAGAGTAATACATTTTACTTAGTGAACTAGTATATCGTAGTGAAAGATAAATAGTATAGTGCCTTCTTAAAATTCTGGAACCCCTCTTCCCAATCTGAGTGTACTCTTTGTGATTGCTGACTCCCTAAAATCAACAATTTAAGGCTTTTCTTTCCAGACTTTCTCTGCCCCAAAAGAACCAGGTTGCTCGGACCACACAAGAGCTTACTGACAGGTAGAATGACTGTAGTGAATCTTTCTGAAAGGACCTCTCTTTTGCTTTGGTTAGACAGTT